CTGTCAGAACAGTTTGTAGCTTTAAAGGCTTTGACCGAGGTGAACATATATCATTCCATAGTGGAGCAGTGATGGTGGGTTTGGGAAAAGCCTGATTCTTCTACCTAGGACAGAAGTACGAGTGGAAAAGTGCGTTTTTGTCCATGAACTTAAAAATTGTTTCATGTGCCAATTCATGGTGTGGCAAGAGGGTGAAAAACAAGCTTTTCAGCATCTTTCAGCAGCCCAGGATAGGAGGATTTTTTCCAGCTAAAGTGTCTCCTGTCACTGTGTGGGCCCAAAGGTCATGAAGCTTCACATTGCTTTGACTCTGCTCTACACTTTTGACACCACTTAGCTCTACCAAAATTTCTTCATAAACCTTTCAACACACACAGTCTGGTTACATTAGTCTAAACTCCTGTCACAGAATTAAATATATAGTAAATATTACATTTATTAGGGATGCAAAGGGCTGCTCAGGCCTTTTGGTTGACATCCCAGTTTTACTAAAGTCAGTGGTGAAAATCCCACTGTCATGAGGAAACAAGAGTTTTGTTTTTCTGCTTTAAGTGAAAAAGACTATTTTTTTTAAGTGACTGTTATTTTCAAATCCACTTCCTAGTTGTCTAATAATGTAGGTTTCATTATTCTGCATTCTAGTGAAGTGGATTTATATAGCATTTATATACCATATCTTTTAAAATATAATTTACTTTATGTGCACTTAAAGGTTAAAGTGCTGCAGAAAATGATTTCTGCATCTGCAATCATACACTAACAACGTGTAGAGAATCGCAAATGTGGTCTTAAATGAACCATAAATGTGGTCTTTGCCAATAAATATTACTGGACTAGTATTTGGTCTCCTGCACATGCCAGTGGTGAAACATTCCTGCTAACAGATGGATGGATGATGTATCCTATACGTGGTGAGAGGAATTTACCACTGAGCTACTGCAAAGTAGCAGGAGCACAAAAATATATTTTAAAAAAAAAAAAAGAGAAGGAGAAAAGAGAGCTTTACCATAAATGTTTGGTTGAAAAATAGACCTGTTCAAAATGTATTGAGCTGCCAGTTGGAGTTGCATCATGTTACTGTAACCCGGAACGCTGGGATGTCTTGTAGAGGGATTGCTTTCTGTGGAGTTCCTTTGGAGCTCTGCAGTGGGAATGCAGGTGGAGGGGAAGGCTGAGATGCACAGAGCCCATTCCTGTTGGCTTCCCCCAAAAGGGATGTTGCACAGACCTTCAACAAGCTGCTCAGCCCTGGAAAGAAACGAGCTCACAGGCCCAACCTTGGTGCCAGTTGAAGTCAGATGGAGTTTGTCATTGATCTCAGCAGGACCTGTGGCTGACAGGGGAGTAGGGTAAAAAATCCCCACACTTTGTCCTAGCTGAGCTCTCTACAAGTGTTGCAACAGGAAATGTTTTCCCTTTGGAGGTGTAGGGAAACCAGAAATCCTTGGGCACTGCCGGATTTCCGAGCAGCGTGAGGAGGGAGGATGGAGCGAGTTTCTGCCTTGGGAATGTGTGTGTGGTTGTTGTCTCAGCGTTTCCTGGCCAGGTAATATTGAGGAGCTTGTTCTGGAGTCTTGGTGAAATATTCCAGCTGACAGGGACTGAATTCACAAGAGGTGCTTGCAGAAAAGAACACGTTATTTTTTTTTCCCTTCCATGGCTGCACCTTGATCACGTGCTGACTAAAATGAACGCAGTGATTTCACAGCCTTTCACTCTCTGCATCCAGACAGGATGTTGTGTGGAATATAACGTGCACTACCTTCATGATATAGGATGCTTTTCCAGGGGTTATGTGTGGTGAAGGAAATCAAACTTCCTTTATGGTACTCTCCCGTTTTTTTATAACATCTCCTTGGTTTATACTGTTTGTTTTATAATCAGCAATACAATGGATATATATATTAGTGCTTTTTTCATATATTGCACTGTACATTGGAAAGTAACAGACACACAATGGGGAAATACTTTCAGAACTGGAAATATTTCTTTTATATTGGGCCTGATTCTGATCTCAGTTATTCCAGTATCAACCTAGAAAAATTCCACTGAAAGAAGTGGGTTTCATTCAGATTTACAAAGATACTGCTGAGAAAAGAATTTGCCCTGTGGTAAGCTTTTAAAATATGATATTCATTCAAAAGTTAATGAAGATGTGTAAAGGAACGTGGAGGTTTCCTCCTGTTGTGGTTGATGCTCAGGTTTTTCTAAAGACACTCTAAGGCTGCAGTTCAGATGGTCATAGAAGAAATAATTATACTTTGATTCATTAGCTCAAAGCAATTAACATCTGTTTACATTTTCTTTTGAAATTTAAGCAACAGAGAAACAATTGAAAGGAATTTTTAAAATCCTCTGTTCAAAAAGTGAAAGGTTTATGAAAAGTTCATTACATATACCTTCAAAATATTTTCCTAGAGGTTAAAAATTATGCTTGTAAGTGATTAAACTCTGTAGATAACTAATGAGACGTGTAGGGATTTATTTCTTGTAGCTGAAAACATACAGCTGTATGAAAGATTTTAATACAGTGGATGTTTTACTAAAATTCCTGCAGGTAAATGGGTATTAATAAAGTGGAAACTTCAGTTTGCTTGAGGTACAAAAAGAAAAAAAAAACACACACCAAAAAAAAAAAAATCCAATGCAAGATACGCTGTTAAATGCTGAGTTTATATCAATAAATGTCTTGCATCAGCTGTCACTGAAATACTTGGGTTTCTGTGTTCTTTGTTATGGCATTTGATATTCCATCAGCTCATCCTCTTCTCCCCCTGACTTCAGCAGGAGCTGAATCATGGCCCAAGAACAGTAATTCAGTTGGGCTCTGGCTGCTTTTTTACAGAAAGTTTCAGAACTGTTGAAGTGGAAGGATCTGTTCTTAGGGGTATTTCCAACTCAGGCCTATGAGTCAATAATCTTGAACGATGTTTGTCCTCTTGGGTCCTTCTCTGAGACTGAACTGGAACTTCAAAATGCGTGTCAGTCTTGGACACAATTCCCTGGCTGTGGTCTGGAGGAGATGTGGGGTGGGATTTTAGAATTGGGAATTTTTGTCCATCACGGGTGTGTCATCACTGTGGTGTTGGTTCCATGTACCTTGGTGGATATTTAAGTTCCTCAGGTCAGCAGCTTGAGTCAGTGTCCTAAAGAAGGAAGAAGGTGCTGTAACATCCCTAAACAGCTGTGAAAGTGGTGGTTTTAGCGGTATGGAGGAGACCTGTGATTATATATAACCTCTATATCTCTATCTGTATTTCCTCAGAGAGATCCTGAGTGTTTCATACCTTTCCAAAGAGATTCCTTGTTGGCAGCTGCCCAGCTCACAGGTCAGCACCAGTTGGCAGCAATCACAACAGGAACACCAGGGAATCGAAATATTTCTCTAGGAAAATACTTAAAATATTCCACCCATCCCAGTGCTGACGAACACTGAGGGTCAGTCTGGGGCACCGAGTGAGCAAAACTTGCTTTTTCCATCAAAAAATTAGGAAAATAAATATTTCATAACGACTATGACCATTGAAAACAAAAAACAAGCGATGTGTCTTCAAAGGGAGCTGATCCAAACTTGACCTATCATGAGAATCTACTTCCTTAAGGGTGGGAAAGGAGGAGAATCTAAACAGCTACAGGATGTGCTCACATGTCAATGACATTAAACAAGTCAGAGATCTTTGTTCCAAGTGCTCTTATTTTTTCTTGAACCACGCAATGGTTTGAGTTTTCTCTCTTGCTTGGTGAGCAATCACATCATGAACATGACGATTTCTCTTTGTCTGACATGCATTTTGCCTGCCTTGATGGTTACTTGGGGGCTTCCCTAAACATCATCTCTCCCTTTTTTGTACCTCTTCAAGATTTGTGGAAGGTTTATTGGGCAGTAAATTGATGAGATGAACTCCTGAGCTCCTATGATCCCATTCTAGAGTAGCTGCTTCTACCATCACTGGGTGGAGGTGAAACCATGGTATTTGTCTCCTGGGTGGCCATTCTGCAAAAGCTTATGCTTTGAAAGTCCATTTTTTGGTGTTTAAAGCTTCTGTCTTCTCTCTGCCTTCAAGACAGTGAGTTTCTTGAGGCAGTTACCTCTTTCTCTTCCTCTGTATGATGCTCTCCTCTGCACCACTCCTGGGCATGACTGTACAGACCAGATGACTTCACTTCTGGGGTATCTTGCAAAGGCATAGCTGAGAACAGACTTAAAGGTCTTAGGTACCTCCTGCAGCAAAGCCCAGCAAAAATATCCAGAAATGGTAAAGTAGGACAAACACGTCACCCAGGAGCAAAGAACGGCTTTTGTGCCGTCCTATCATGAAGCAGAAAAACCTTCCCTTCTTTCCCGTGCCCTTCTCCAGAGCCACTGATGGCACTGGTGCCTTTTCCCTCCTTCTTCCCTGTGAGGACAACGTCCTCCTGGCACGTAGGATCTGTATCAGTGCAATGAGTTCAGGTCATTGGTCTTAACCAGTGATTAGTTCCTCCCCCAGAGGGTGGTTGGCACTGACCAGGCTCCCCAGGGCAGTGGTCACGGCCCCAAGGCTGACAGAGCTCAGGGAGTGTTTGTAAAACACTGTCAGGGACAGGGTGGGATTGTTGGGATTGTCCTGTCCAGGGCCGGGAGTTAGACTTTGATGATCCTTGTGGATCCCTTCCAGCTCAGGATATTCTATGATTAATAAAGGTATTTTTGACCAGGCAATGTAGGGTTTAGCTGGGAAATGAATCCTTTGTTCCACTGTCTGGGGAGACCCCACATGTGCACACAGTGTGGGACAGTGTCCTCAGCCTGGGGGGACACCTCTTTCCAAAGCACATTGTGCCAACTTTCTTATTCCAAGTCTCAGCCACATTCCCTCTTGCTGGAATAAGCGTTTCCACATCAACTCTCTGCTCTAGGAGAGTCAGACGATACAATTGCAAAGATTCCCATGGGTTGGGCGGTGCTGCTGTTTCTCTTTTTGCCCTTGAGAGAGAAAAGCTGTTGTTCTTGCCTGTAGGAATGACTCCCCTACAGCCAAGGATGGAGACTTCTGTCCAGGCCTCGCTCCAACGCGCTGACAAGGAGATCAAGACAGCCCTGAGGACACTCATGGACTCGGCATCGATGCTGGTGACTCTTCCCCTGGGCATGAGAGGAGAAGGTGGTCTTGGCCTTCCTGGGTCTGTTCCTCCAAACCTCTCAGAAACAGCAGCTGGGCCCCCTGTGCTGGTTCATGAAGCCAGCACCCAAACCCAGGCTCCTGGAGGCCATGGTAGGTTGGGCATGGATCTGGGAGATGTCCCGTGGGAGTCAAGAGAGAGAGAAACACTGAACATACCAGCAAAGATAGTTTTTACCTCATTTTTCTGTTTCAATGTGTTTTGAACAGACAAAGATTAAGAGAGGACATTCAGACCCCAAGAAACGTGGGGGTGTGGGTTGGGGTTAGGTGGGATATAAGAATGGGGCAGATCTTTCAGGAAACAGGAGATGTTTGAAAACCATGTCTGAAGTACAGTTTGATTCATCACCTGCCCAAGATGGAGGGAATGGGAACAGGAGATCCCTCCTTTACATTTATAGAAGTTATTTGGGGTTTGGTTTGGTGGGGTGGGTGAGGGCAATTGCTTTAGTTTTTGCCATAAACAAGCTGGAAATGTGTTTAACACCCCTGGATCCTCTGACAGAAGTTTTACAGGATGTTCAGTGCATCAAGTTCAGCTGAATTTCACTGACCCTGGAGCCTTGACAGACTCCTTAGCAGCACCTATGTGACTAAACCCAGTGATGTGTGTGACTGTCTTGCCAAGATATTGAGTCCTTTGTTTTTCCATTGTTTTCAAAAAATCCCAGATGAGAGACAACCCTTCTACTCTTCCTTCAGCTTCTGCCATAACAACTTGTCTCAGCTGTGTCTGTGTCAAACCAGAATAACTGTTCTGTCAAGTAAGCCTCAGATCCAAATACTGTTTAAAAAATAAGATATTCTTGTTTAAAACTGAACAAGGATAAAAGCCGGTCAGGGAATCAGACCCAAAATAACAGCATAAAAAATGACAGGGCTTTAAAACCTTTTTTTTCCCTTTCTAGTAGGAAATCATCCTTGGCAATAATACCCTGGTGAAGCAGGATGACTCAAAAATCTGAAGTAAAACGTCAACTAGTAGATTATTTCCTTAGTCATAACTACAGAGGAAATACAATAGTGAATGAGATGGTTTTTCAGGTTTTTCATTGAGCAAAATTAAATATTTTATAGGGAGTTATTTTAATCAGATGAAAACTCGATAACTGTCCCTATGATCACATGCTTTGACTAAAAAGAAGGCAAATATTTCAATTGTGATAAGAAAGCACAATCCCACTAACCTGTCAGCAATGTCTTGAATAACCACTTTTTCCATCCCCATGAAGCTGTTTTATGTGATTTCTAGAAACTTTTTTCCAAAACCATTCAGCACCAAGCATCCATTAAATGCTCCCCGAAAAGGCCCTTCCTGTTGGAGGGAAGAACCCTCTTGATTTAACTTTTTCTCCAAAAATGGAAAAGGAGACGATGCACTTTATCCCATGGTGTAATTCCAATATCAGAAGACAGTCGTGTACTTTTGGAATGGAAGATCAAATCAGGTTTTAAAGATATGTCTCATAAAATAATTAATGAAAAAAGTTGAAAAATACCTGAACTGCCATCAAACTGCACCAAATTTTTGTTTCCTTGTTCCTATAAGTCCCAGATGCCAAACCTTGTTCTGGTATAACTTAGAGCTCTATAAAGATATTTTCCAGGAACCTACTGGAGGTGCAGCAATGCTGATGTTAAAATACCACATGGTTCTCTTGTAAGAATGTGCCTCCATATTTTCTCCAAATTAATCATATCCCCACCCAGGACCTGCTTTGACCACCACTTTTACATTGACATGAGTTTAATCACGTCACTGATGCTGTCTGTGATCACAGCAGTGAGTCAAGAGCTGCTCTCCTAACAAGGTTTAATTGAAATATTCATGTGTACAAAGCTAATGTTGGTTTTCCCTGGATATATTTAAAAGATGTGTAGATGTGGCACCTGGGGACATTGTTTAGTGCTGGCTTTGGCAGTGCTGGGTTAATGGTTGGCCTTGATGACCTGAAAGGTCTTTTCCAACCCAAACAGTTCTGTGATTCTATGATTTCATCACAGCCATGAGCTGGAACTCCAACACAGATAAATTATCTCCTATAAAGGATGGATGAACCCACAGTATCCTTCCAGTTGTCCTGTTTCTCCCTGTCCCTACAGACTGCCTTTCCCATCTCTGTCTGTGTGTGTTTCCTTACAGAAAAATTAATATTTCCCAGTGAGAAACATGCCACCCTTCAGTCTCTCTGATGTTCAACCCCTTTGCTTCCTGTGGTCTTTGCAAAAGGGCCAAAATCTCCTCTGAGCTTCAGTGACTGCACTCAGCTGGACTCGGTTCTAACTCCAGGCAGACTGGAGAAGGCCCCGGAGGCTTGCTCTGGGTTTCAGGTGTGCTGTCTTAGGTGACGTGTTTAACTTGCCCTGTTTCTGCTGCCAGACAAAGCACAGAGTCAGGTTTCAGCTGAAGAACCAAGTGTGCCAAAGCCCAGCCCTGGTCCTTCCCAGGAAGACACAGCTGCTGGAGACGGAAGCGCTCGGGAACGCACCGTTCCCATCGACAGGTAAATGCCATCTCCATAGATTGATATAACACATAGGGATTTCGGAGTGGGGCAGACTCTGCTGCAAGCAAATCAAGTTCTCTGTTGTGGAGGAACCAGGTGGTGACTTGAACAGGTTCTTGTAGGTTTGCCATAAATTTTAGAATCCTGGTGGCACATGCTTTGTCAAAGAAGGGTAGAAGAGGTTGGAGAGAAATTCATTCCCCCAAACCAAGATTCCTCTCGTGTTAATTTTAAGTAAATAACTCTTCGTCTGCTGGTTAAACAGGTCCATGGCAGGGGAAATCCTGCACCTCTTGTCACTGTATGTGACAATACCTTGATCTTTTCTCTTGGGCTTCATGGCAGAACCTCACCAGAGGCAGGGGCAGGAGGCTGGTACAGGAGAGAAAGAGATGTGGTCTGGGATGTGCACAGTGAAGTTTATATTGAGACCACGGAAAGAACACGTGTGTATAAGACTGAGGAGAAGACCCCAACAAGTAAGAACACACCCTGTTTCCCTCTCCCACATTCCAAAATTGCCACTGTCTTCTCTTTTGGTATCAACTCCCCATGGCTGATTTTTTTAACAATTCCATTTTTTCAACTGGTAACTGTCGATTAAACAAAAAATAATAGGTAACCCTGAAGATAAGAAGCCTAAAAGTAATGCCAGTATAAAGAAACCCAAATATATTGCTGTGGTACCTCTTGATTTGACACTAAGATGTTGTACCCTAAATGGCCCATCCTATAAACAGCATTTGAGTAACTCCACCTACATCAGCACACTGGGGATAAAGTTACGGCATTGTGCATGGAGCAAACCCTTGTGTCCCACCAGGTCCTCCCTACATGCAAGTGACAATAGAGGATGTGCAGGTGAACTCTGGGGAACGTGCCAAATTTCAGGCAGTCATCGAGGGAACCCCTCCACCCACCGTGCTGTGGTTTAAGGTGAGTGCAGAGTGAAGACCACAGAAAGGACTCTAGTGTTGTATTTCCACAGGGAATGTCTTCTGCTCTTTCATCCCACACATCTTACACTGATTGTGGATCATGTCTGTAGGGTTTGTGGAACCAGCTGCTCTCACTGGAACCACCATCCCTGTGTCTCACCCTGTGTTGTCTCCAGTGCCACTTGGGGATCCTTTTTCGGACAGAGCAACCCAGATGGTTTTGGGGACCAAGATGAGCAGGAAAGGAAACTGGTTCCTTCCTGAGAGTCACTGAGATGTGTGCTGTTGTTTGGGGCTGGGGATGGGCTTAGGAGTGGTTTATTCCAATTGTCAACATGACTTCCAGGCTATGTATCTTTTCTGCAACTAATTGTTAAAGTGAGTGTGACCAAGGACAATGAAAATCCCACAGAAAGGAAAGAGAAATAATTTATTATTCTTTAGAATATTGCTGCCATATCTTGTCATATTGCTGAAAGAAGCCCCAAGTTGCTCTGTCAATCCTCATCTGGAAGGGGTTACAAAGGACATTGCTGCAACAGTACCAAGCCATGGATTTATTAAATGATGCTTTGTGTCTTATTCTTTATTCCTTCCCTAATAATTCTAACATCTGGTACTTTCTGGCTCCCACCAAGCACTGAGCTGGTGCTGCTGTGGAGTGATTTACTCTAAGTTAAAATTTGCTCCAGTATGAAAAGGAACAGCTCTGAGACTGACATTTTATGTGTGGGAATAGGCTTCACTCCACCTATATTTTATTATATACATATATGTATATATTGTATTATATATATTTATGTTGCATTTTACTGCTATAGGGACCTTTTGCAAATGCTCACAATCTACCCTCTGTGTCACACACACTCCCTCCTGTCCCTTTCTTCATAGCATTTAGGAATATATAGAATCACAGAACCTTTAAGGTTAGAAAAGACCTCCAGGACAATCGATTCCAACCTTTGACCAAACACCACCATGTCAACTAAACCAGAGCAGTGAGTGCCACATCCAGTCCTTTCTTGGACAGCTCCAGGGATGGGGACTCCACCACTTCCCTGGGTAGTCTGTTCCAGTGCCTAATCACCCTTTCTGTGGAGAAATTCCTCCTGATGTCCAACCTGAACCTCCCCCTGGAACAGCTTGATGCCGTGTCCTCTTGTCCTGTCCCTCATTCCCTGGGAGCAGAGCCTGACCCCCAGCTGGCTCCTCCCTTCTGTCAGGGAGTTGTAGAGAGTGAGAAGGTCCCCCCTGAGCCGCCTTTTCTCCAGGCTGAGCCCCCCCAGCTCCCTCAGCTGCTCCTCATCTGACTTACAAACCCCACAAGTGCCAGCACAAGCTGGAGACCAGGCAGGAGCAAAGCAGCTGATCCTTGTGTTCCCTGGGCTGACTGCTCAGGAATGGTGTGCTGGGAGAGCTGGAAAATCAACCACATGGCACTGGTGATCCCTCCCAAGCCTGCATTCCTATAAATGGGAACACTGGGACATGGAGGATTCTTCAGCCAGCATTTTGCTGGGGAGATTTGCTGACCTCAACAGTCTGTGTCATGGCTTTGCTCCCATAGCTTGTCTCTGGAAGAGCAGAAACATCTGTTTCCATCTTGGTTTTTCCAGTGCTAAAATGTCATTTCCTTCTTTCAGGGCACTTCGTTGCTGACAGACAGTGACAGAGTCCACCAGGGGAAGGAAGGGACAACGTATTTCTTAGAGGTGGACGATGCTGCCTTGGAAGATGGTGGTGTTTATACCTGTGTTGCCAAAAATGCAGGAGGGGAGGTTTTGTGCAAAGCAGAGCTCGTTGTACGTGAAGGTAATGCCACTCCCTCAGCTGCAGGGGTTGCTTCCATAGCCATGGCAACGTGTAATCTGGTGGTGTCGTGCTCTGTACCTGTATGGTATCAGCTCTCTGTTCCTGTGTGCATTTATAGATTGCTAAATACAGCAAGATCCAGTATAAAAGCAAATCACAGAATCCTGAAATGGTTTAAGTTGGAAGGGGCCTTAAAGACCACCTCATTCCAACCCCCTCCCATGGGCAGGGACACCTTTCACTATCCCAGGTTGCTCCAAGCCCTGTCCAAGCTGGCCTTGAACACTTCCAGGGATGAGGCAGCCACAGCTTCTCTGGGCAACCCCAGATTTCACATTGACAGGTTCTGTTATCAAGCAGCTCCACTTAATTCTCTGCAGAAGTTCAGAGAATCTCTGTTATTTTTCCTACTTTAGATTGTCCTGAGATAACTCTGCACACTATTAGCAAGGCATTGCTGTCTGACTATTAACCTTTATATTTTCCTTCATTTCCAAAGCTAAGAAAGACCAAGAAGGAAAGAAAGTGGCCACCAGGAGAAAGCTCCATGCCCATTATGAGGTGAAGCAGGAAATTGGAAGGTAAATGAATTTTCCAGCTCTATATAATCACTGCCAGGGAATATCTAATTGCCCTTCTGAGCTGCTGAGGCAGAGGGGGCCCAGCTGTGGAAAAGTGGAAAAGTGGGAGGTCACCCATTGCAGGTGTGCTGGGAATGCTTTCCTGTGGTTTCTGACAGAGGATGGGACAGTCCATACAGCCCATAAGTGCGGGCATCAGCCTTTGTCAGCACCTGCATCACCTGATACAGCTTTTCTCGTTATGTGGACACCTTGCTTCTCTTTGGAGGCAGCCAGGAGAGGGCAACAGCACCTCACGGACAGGAAAACGAGCTTTTCATGCCGGAGAATTTAAGCACTGGGCAGTGGGGAGCTGTCAAAGCCCAGGATGTGGAAAACTCTCTGCCTGCTGCTCTTTAAACCATGTCTGAGCAGGGCTTGTGTCCTTTGATTCCTGCACAGGGGCTGCTTCAGCTTCGTGAAACGGGTTGTGCACAAAGGGAACAGAGTGTCCTGTGCTGCCAAGTTCATCCCTCTGCGAAGCAAAACCAAGTCTCGAGCCCACCAAGAGAGGGACATTCTCGCCTCCCTGTCCCACGACAGAATTACCCGGCTCCTGGATGAGTTTGAAACGAGGAAAACACTGATTTTGGTTCTGGAGTTGTATCCTTTTTCTGTGCAGCTTGTCTGAGGAGGCTGGGGAAGTAGTGGGTAGAGCCCGTTTATTAAATAAACTTATGAATTAACAATTTTTCGGTTTTGCCTGAGACAAAAAGGACATGCAGAGCCCTTCTCTGCACTGCGGGGTGGCACAGCTCTGTGGGAGCTTCACTGCAGTACTGTTGAGTAAAATCATACTTGTGTATCCAAGTGTGAATGGGTTATTAAGCATCCAAACTCTGTTCTGAAATGTCTGGAAGTTAAGGACTCTTTTTTTTCCATGAAATGCAGTCTGGGTGAGCACCAGGAAAAGGCAGTGCAGAGCAGAAAACCCAGTAGCCAACAGGTAGATTTTAGCACAAGCAATACCAAAACCTACAGGTTTTAGCTCCCACTTGTAGGAGCACAGGTTTAGAGCAGCCAAAACTCTGTCAGAAGGGCACAGCAGTAGAGATTTTAATGATCATCACATTGCCTGAGACCACCTGGTGAATTCTGCTGCAAAAATGAGCTTTTACCTGCAGTTCTGCTCTCCCTTAATGCCCTCGTCAGATGCTCCAGTGAAGAGCTCCTGGACCGTTTGTTCAAGAAGAGTGTGGTCACTGAAGCTGAGGTAATTCCTCTTTCCTCACTTGAGAGCCCAGAGTTGGTTGCACCTGCATTTTCCTAATGGAGGAATGTCTTTCCTTATGAGGAATGTCTTTGAAACCAGTGGGCAACCTGTCAAAACACAATCAGCTCTTCAAATGTGTTCCCATCAACTTGCTTTGCTAAGTTGAGTTTCTCTGGGCAGTAACTAGAAGCAGGCAGTGGTTTTGACCACCAGGATTGCATTCAGCCTGAAAAATATTATTATGTTTGCTCTAGTGTTATCATTTCTTTGCTCTCTGTCACCTGGAGCTCCTGTATCTTCGCTTGCTTAATACCAGTTTATCCCCTTGTAACTGAATTCTATCCACTCCCTTTCAGTCCCCAAAATAAAGGGATGAAATTATGGTTTCTAAAGGGTTCTTTTTTTTTTTAGATCCTTGGTGCTCAAAGTTCAAAATGTTTCATATCTCCCATCTGGTAGTCAGGTGTCCCACGTTTATGGGGAAAATTGATTTTTCTTAGAATACTCAGAGGGAAATATCATAGAATCATAGAATGGTTTGGGCTGGGAGGGATCTTTAAGGATCACACATCAACTGACACTATAAAATGGCAAAGGTAAAGGACTTCCAGAGCTGAATGTGGATGCAAATCTAGATATAAATGTTCACAGTCATAGTCTGATTGGATCTGCATATGGTCAACAAATAGGTTTACAACATACTTTTAAGATGTATTTGCATTTTAAATGTGTTTGCCTAATTTAAACCAAGCCAGAGCTGAGTTTTTGTTATGGCAGTTGATAAAGTTTGTCGAACTTGAGGATTTTTGTCTCTTTTATTTCTTTTAATTTGCATCTTTGTAGGATTGGTTTGGTTTTGTTGGGGTTTTTTTGTTTGTTTGTTTTTTGTTTGGTTTTTTGTTTGTTTGTTTGTTTTGTTTTGTTTTGTTCTTTTTTTTAAAAAAAGTAGGGACTTTTTCACATACAGAAAGTTCCACCAGGGCAGAGGGGTCACACACGAGGCACAGCTTCATTCCACAGGATAATGTTTGGTTCACATCTAATTCCAACTGCAAGAATAATAAAAGAAGACAATTCTACTTTTAAAAGTATTTCTGGTTCAATTTCTCCCTCTCTCATATGCTACAAATATTGGTGGAATCAGGGACCCTCCTATGTACTATTACTGTTTAATAATTATTTAATAATTCATTTGATTCTTAGGTCAAATTGTATATCAAGCAAATTTTGGAAGGACTCAAATATCTTCACGACAACAACATCCTTCACTTGGACATCAAGGTAACGTGCAATGACAGGCTTTTCACAGCCTCTTCTTTGTCAGGGAATGGGTGTTCTATGTTTGAATTATTTAGTTATTATTCAATTATTTTCTTACTTAAAATGGAAAATATTGCCTGATTTAAAGTAAAGTTTCTCCTTTTATTTTATTTTATTATTTTATAATTTTATTTTATTTTGTGTTTTTATTTTGTTTTGTTTTATTTTGTTTTGTTTTATTTTGTTTTATTTTGTTTTATTTTATTTTATTTTGGTTTATTTTATTTTGTTTTATTTTATTATTTTATTTTCTTTTATATTATAGCCACTGAATATCCTCATGGTTTACCCTGAGAGGGAAGACCTGAAGATCTGTGACTTTGGGTTTGCTCAGAAGATCACCCCCTTTGAGCCTCAGTACAGCAAATACGGCTCTCCGGAGTTTGTTGCCCCAGAAATCGTTTCTCTGTCACCGGTGTCAAAAGCCACTGATATCTGGTAATATCTGCTCATCTCTCATCTTCCTAAAAAGCTTTTTCAGGCCCTTGATGGCCTGAATATCCATTTACTGTTAATAAGTAAATGGAGCAGTGATAATTATGTAGGAAACTGGAAGTGAACCCTGAGAGTCCAAAAGCCATCAGGGCCCTTTAAAGCTCCTTCTGTCTATTTTTTGGGTTTTTTCCAGCCATAATTGAGCTCTGACAGCTCATTGATGCAAAGGAGCATCTTGGAGGAGATGATCTCTATTAGAGGCAGCAACAAGGGAGAATGATCCTAAAGAGCTTTCTAGAAAAGGCAAACAAACTCAAAAAAAAAAAAAAAGTATTATGAGCCCTTTCCTTTATCTGTGCTTTAAAATTGGAAGATGGCTTGAGAACAATTTTAAAAAATATTGAAGGGGGGAAAAAATACCTGAAGGGTGAAAAGAACTTTTGAGATTTATTTTCCTTGGAAAGGTGAGGAGAAGGGGGTGTCTAGTGGCAGAAAGAGGGGCTGTGTGCTTGAGAAGGATGGATAAACAGTGACAAACACCTGACATTTGTGCTCCCTTTCTCCTCAGGGCTGTTGGAGTCATCACGTATTTAAGGTAAACAAATCTTGTTTTAAAGACTCATTTAATAATCCTTTGTCCATCAGAGCCCTCTAATACTTTCAAGTGGGGGATTTGAGTGGAGCATTGAGTCTTTCTATGATAAGGACAATTTATTTTGTGTTTTCCTCCTTTCCTGGGTTCCCAGGGCTTTGGTTGTTCTCCCTGAGAGCTGCATTCCTTGTAGTTCACAGTGGGAGCAGTGGATGAGGTTCAGTCTCCCCCTTCCCTGTTTTAGCCAACACCCCACTGTAACTGTGCTTTAATTCCTTAACTTACTATTATCCCAAATAAATAATGATTCAGTGAAGTGCCATGAAATGCTGGGGTGAAAGATGACTTATTAGTGAACACCTTGCTCACAAGCAAGTCCCACACACGGAGTCCCTCAAATATCTTAAAACCCCAGGAGGGCACTTGTGCTTCTGTCATTTGAACAGCAAATAAAGGTCTAAAATCCATCTCCTTTTATTTTGTGGTGTCCAATAAATAAGCCTCACGTGCAAGTCTCCGTTTGCTGGGGAGAACGACAGGAAAACCCTCCTGAACATCCAGAGTGGGGAGATTTCATGGACCATTCCTGACGTTGTTCACTTGAGTGAAGATGCAAAGGACTTCATGAAAGGGATCCTGCAGCAGAACCCCAAGTGAGTGTCCTCCTGTGCTTCCTTCCTTAACTGAACCC